GCCCCCATACCCGCCTACACAGGATAAGAGCCTAACATACAAGATGCACTGTAATATCCCTCTATTTTGATCTTTACTGTTCCCATCTTCCCATGCCAAACTGTGATTCCTTGAATATATCAAGCCATTTAGTAACTTCATTCCTCTATAGCTGCTGATGTCTGTCTGATACAGTCTTGCTGCTTTATTCATCTTATTAACTCCTGTTTATCCTTTTATTCTCAGCTCAAGCTACCTCCTCTTCAGGAAACCTTTTCTGTTTCCCATCTACCAGCCCCAGGTTTCATTCTGGGTTAGGCGCCCATCCTGTGTGTTCCAGCATAGTGTATACCTCTGTCTTAGTGCTCACTCTACTGTGTAATAAGAGTCTGTATATTTGTCTTTATCTTTTACTAGACAGTGAACCGCTAAAAGACAAAGATTACATTTTTGTTCTCTCAGCATCCCCAGTGTTTTAACATGGTTCCTGCTACATAGAAGTTGCTGATTAAATGTTGAATGAATAAATTAAATTTAAAGGACTGCTCCTTCTCTAATCTCCACTGTACTAAGTGGCAGCTCTAGTCTTCCAGTTGCCCTACCAAAAATCTTGGATTTATTCCCTCTCTCACCCCACCTGCAATCTATGAGCAGATCCTATTGCCTCTTTCTTTGCATGGTCTCCAGAATTTAATCACTTGCCTCCTCTACCACATGAGTCCAAACCACCATCAAATCTTGCCTGGATTATCTTCAGTCTTCTAACTGATGTCATGCTTCCTCCTTTGATCCTCTTCAATCTGTCTTCAACACAATAGCCAGTGTGATGTTAAAACATAAATGGGATCATATTATTTCTCTTTTCAAAGTCCTCCTGTTGCTTCTCATCTCAGAGTAAAAGTCAGAGCCCTTACCTTGTCCTACAAAGCCCTTCTGTCCTGGCCCTCCTGTCCTTCTCTCCACTCACACTGCTGCTGCCACACTGGCCTCTCCTCCTCCCTGAACACTCCTGACGTCTTCTGCCTCGGGGCCTGTGTGCTTGCTGCTTTCTCTGCCTGGTGACTGCATGGCGCACTCCTTCACTCCTTTAAGATCTTTCTCTTAAATGGCCACAACATCTAAAATAGGCATTTCTATCCCCAATATGCTATCTTCCTTCTCTGCTTAAATTTTTACTTAAATTTTCTCCTTAATCCTATCCTGTAACATACTACATATTTTACTTATTTTTCTAGTCTTATACCATTAGAATGTCAGCTTCATGAAGACAGGGATTTTCATATTTATTTACTGCTGTATTGTCAGCACCTAGGACAGGGCTTATCACATACTAGACGCAATATATTGTTGATGAGCAGACCATGGATGAATGACTTGTGGAAGAGGGATTATACTTGTTCTGTATTACCCAATGGAATTGAGCCAGGACCACAATACATTGACTTATCCTAAAGTACACATAAAGTCATATTAGAACTGCTAATTTACCTCACATTAAAAAAAAAAAAACAAAAAACTACTAATGTCATACCTTTCCATTTGCATTAAGAAGATAGATTTAATGTCAGTAAAAATTAAATTTCTAATAGCTGTTGGAAAAAATAGGTCATTGTGGATTAGAGTGAATTTCTGCCTTTTGAAACTTTGGAAAATGAAGTGAAGAATGACTTGGCGATTGAATTAGAACTGTGGTTCTCAGCTGAGGCTGATTTGACTCACTGAGAACATATGGCACATGTCTGGAGGCATTTTTGGTTGTCACAGCTGGGGGTTGCTACTGGCATCTAGTGGGTAGAGACCAGGGATACTGCTAAACATCCTACACAATCAGACCCCCCACACACGTACACACACAAGGAATTATCCAGCCCAAAATGTCAGTAGAGTCACAGTTAAGACTGTCATCAAGTGAATTTTAAAGTTGAGATATAATTATAAAATTTCATAATTGAGATTCTCTGATATAGTTTCTCTCTTTTTCTGAAGGTAGGGAATTCCTTGAAAATTACTTTTGTGAGTTTTAAGCTTCTCCTCGTAACATGTTTTTGTATCTTAATACCTATGCATTTGATAATGATTAGAATGCCTTTTTCTTCCTGCTGTGAGCCCTGTCATTGTAGTGTAATCACTGTAGAAATGAGTCATTATCTCCAAGGAGAACTAGGAACAGTATTATTGTTATTCAGATTCTGCCTGAAACGTAGACATTTGCTTTATTCATTCATTCATTCATTCATTCATTCATTGTATAGCTTGATACCCTGGGGAAGAATTTGGGAACAGAACCTTACAGGTAACTTAAATGAAGAAGATATTTGTCATTTTTATGAATTGGGATTTTTACCAATAACTCTTTTTGAATGCCAGTGGTGTTATTGTTGTGACAATTTATATTCATTTCCTGCTCTCCATCCTTAACTTTGGTAAGGCACTTTTTTTTCCTATTGTTTATCCAGTCACATTCTTTCATAGGAGCCAAATAGTTAGATTTATGGCCTTGATCTGTGTTTTTTTATATCAGTGGGCATTGTCCATATTTCCCACAAATACATACCCAACTAGCATACTTCCTTTTTGTTTTCGCTCTTTACCAAAGGAGACTCACTGCTGGTAAAACTTTGTTTTCAAGATTTCAGAAGTAAATAGCTATGTTCCAGTTATTCCTTGAATCAGTGAATAGTGTGTTCAGCAACTGTTCTTCATCTCTTAATTTTGGTTCTGTTTTTCTGTAAATGATTTTTTACAAAGAAAAAAAATAAAATCATTCGAACTGAAAGGCAAAAAATCTGTCATTAAGTAGGTAAAGTATTAGTATTTCTCATCCTAGAAGTGAAGTAAGAGCCACAGCTTGGCACAAAAGGAAGAATTTTCTACACAGGCTCATAAGTAAGCAGACAGCCTTGTTTATCCTTCAGCCATATCTGTGGTGCGTTGGTAAGAGTTGGAATCACTCATCATGACCGTTTGTAGCTCGTTTTTCATCCATTAAATGTTGTCTTTGCTTGATTATATAGGTTGTAAGTCTTTAGCAAAGTTTTGGATCCTCAAGTACTTTGAGTGTCTTTTCCAAGAACTCATAAAATTTTAATGTTTAAAAAATAGCTTTCTGTTGTGGCTTGAATGAACAAAGTACTTGATAAAAAGCTTTGAAATACAAACTGTTTTTACAAGAACTTTATATTCTCTTCTTTAAACGATGTAGTGCATTTTTTGTACTTGAGATTGGCCTTAGAATCATCTCAGTCTTTCAACTGGTGTTAATAAAGGGAACGTGAAAGCAGAATTTTAAAGAATGGTTAAATCTTAGTCGTGGCTGCATTGCCTCTGACATGTTTTGTGTGTACTTACCTCTTGAATAGAATGTAAAGGGAATTTTGATTTCTAGAGAATTTATTTAATTCGTAACCTGTTTCACTTGTTTAGAAGAGTATGTACACTGTGCATGTCTACAGTATCCATGGATGCTTGTGCTCTCTGGTTCTGAGTTCTCCCATCTCCTTTATTTAAAAAAAAAAAAAAGTGGACTGCCCAGATGAAGCATTTTCTAGTCTGGTTTCTCTGGCTATTGATTTTTCTATAAGTGACATGTACCGCGCACTGAATAGGAATACATTGTAAAGTATGGGCAAATGAGCACATATGGACACATTCTTCTATCTTGGCCTCTTGGGCACTGGTGCTTTTTAAAAACGAGACTAGCAAGAATCTCTAGGTAAGACTTACTCACATTATGATCAATGCCTCAAGTGACAATGTATGAATAGAGTCATAACTAAAGAGGACTCCTTGGTGTTCTGACTATAAAAATGTAACAAATATAACTCATAAAATTATTTGATAATGTCTTTTATTTTGAGAAATGTGTTCTCAGAATGCTCCTGAGAGAGAGGTAGCAAAATATTTTATTTTGCAACTGTATGCGACAAATGGAAAAATAGAATTTGAATCTTTTGGCTGTCTCACAAACTTATTCTTGGTTAGACTGTGTTTTCCGTGTGGTATGTTTTGAGATTCCTTAAATCGAAACATTCTTTATCCTGTTGTGTTTAAATGACTTCTAGTGAAAGAAGATTTCTCTCCCTTAGGATTGCGCCTCTTGGTTCTTCATCACATGGCTAGAGCCAGATAGTTTGTGTATGGTTGTTTGCTGAGTCTGTTCACTGGTTCATTTGTTCAATATTTGTTTAAGAAATATTTATAAAGTATGTCTTATGTGTCAAGTACTTTGTTACGACTCTGGTGTTTTTTTTTTTAAATTATTTCAGGACTGATGAGAAGTATTTTAATATCTCAAGATGGTGTTAAATTGGGATCATGTGTTTTCAGAACAGAAGCACCTGGCTCATTGTGTTGTTCCTTAAGGCCAGGATCCCCAGCCTTAAGCTTGTAAGGATCATGATGCTTGTGAAGCCGTTTCAGGTGTTTTGTCACAGTTCCTAACTCTTGCTTGCCGCCTGCTTGTCCTAATTCCCTAAGTGATGAAGAACTCTTCTGTGATCCACTAATCCCTGTGGAGGCACTTTCCAATGTCACCACTTTCTCCCACCTGTCACCCATTGTACCAGATTCATATGCACTTAAAACCATGTGAGCTACTTACAGGAGACTTGTAAATTGTGTGTTTTAGCTGATGTTGTCATCAACTTAGCATGTGATCAGTAAGCCACTTCCCCTTCCTTAAAGCTGTTATCAAAAAATTGTATTTAAAGCTATATCATCAAAATTGCTACTTTGGTTATTACATAAATTGACAGATGGATTGCATCCTGTTATACAAATGAGGAAACTCATTACTCTTTTTATGTGGACAGGGACTACTGCCAGCCAGTTTACTGTCAGCAAAGCTTCTGAATTGCTTCTAACAGTAGTGGCTTGTGTTGTACCCTGGCACAAAGAGACACCTTACCTTAAGTCTTATATTAGCTCAGTGGCAGAAGTATGAATGGAACATTAATTAGCTTTAACATAAGACAGCTTAAAAGTTTACATTTTGCTTTCCCTTTGTCTCCCCGTCTTCACAGGAGTGGTGAATGTGTTGCTGACAACCCCGCTCTGGGTGGTAAACACCAGACTGAAGCTGCAGGGGGCAAAATTTAGGAACGAAGACATTGTACCGACCAACTACAGAGGTATTTTTGGTAAGTGTCTCTTGAGTGAGTTTCTGTTTAAGGGTTTTCTTTTTGTATCTGGAATTTATTACCATGATAATGCTATATAGATAATGCTATATAAAAGACAACTTCAGATCTCAGAGTCCAACAGTAAGCATTTGTTTAGCTCATGTGTCTGTGGATTGACAGGGATTTGACTCATCTAGGCTGAACCCCGCCTGGGAGTCTCACCTCTACGTGTCTCATCATCCTCCTGGGTCCAGCCTGAGCATGATGTTCTTTTGGTGATGGCGAAAACACAAGAGGACACGCCCAGTCGTACAAGCGCATTTCAAGCCCCTGTTTGCATCTTGTCTGCTAACATCCTCTTGGCCAAAGCGTATCACGTGGCCAAGCCCAAAGACAAGGGGTAGACAAGTTACTGCTCCCATGGGGTGTGGGTGGGAGGGGGTGAATATTTCTAAAGAATAATCCACTGTACTTTTTTCCCCCCTCTAGTGTTGTCTTTGGATAAAGATACCAGATTAATGTCAGGTATCTTTGAGCTCTGCTTTTTGATAGCATCACACTGCCAGATTCTTCTTTCCTATTTTTGTAATAAGAACAGCGGTTTTCTTATAAGTCAATCCTATAAAGGGACTCCAAGGAACTATGTTGTCTTTTTGTTGTACTGGACTTTGTTGTGAAACACATGGGTAATCAATTCTCAGTTCTCTGTAAGACAGAGTTCCCAGTAGTGGGGATGATAACTTAGGAAAACTTGACATTCTGACCTTAGATTGTCAGAATTGTCATGAAAGTAATTGCCCATGATTGAAGTTGTCTCTCAATAACTTGGTGACTGTCAGTGTCTGGTAATTATCAAAAAGTAGTTAACTAATGAACTTGACCCTAAAATATCATTGCAAGAAGGAAATCTTGATAGACCCAGTGTGGTTTCTATTTTGGGTACATTTGAACAGAATTCACCTTGTCGTCTCTAGTTAGGGGATTGTCATTAGATATCCTTGATCTCTTGCTTAGATGCTTTTCACCAGATCGTCCGAGATGAAGGACTCTTGTCTTTATGGAATGGCACATTTCCCTCCTTGCTCTTGGTCTTCAATCCCGCCATCCATTTCATGTTCTATGAAGGTTTAAAACGGCAGCTTTTAAAGAAACGAAAAAAGGTAATCCCTCATTTTGAAAGCAGCAAATAATAATCTCTGCACTGTCCTGTTGTTAGGATTGGTGTGATTCATTCTGTCCTTGCTTTCCAGCTTTCCTCTTTGGATGTGTTCATCATTGGTGCAGTAGCCAAAGCAGTTGCCACCATAGTCACCTATCCCATGCAGACGGTCCAGTCGATTCTGAGGGTGAGTGCTGGGCTTCATCCTGTGTTTGTCACACAGCACTCTAAAATACCTGGTTTCTTTCTTTCAAGCCTGTGCTAGAAAAGCAATAAAGTCGTCAGTTGGTAGACCAGAGCTCATTCATTTTTATATTTGATATTCTGCTAACCAGGCTAGCTATTGGTTGTTTTCTTATTTTAATTTAAAATGAAGTTTACATTTGCAATTTCTTAGGTAACATAGTATCTCAGAAAACCAGAATGGGAAGGAAAATTCTCTAAGCACCTCCAGAAAGTATAAGTTTGCTTCCTTCTCATTTGAGTTGATTCGCTTGATGTCCTAAGGCAGATTATTTACCAGGGAAGAAGTTGATTCCTTTAGTTTATTCAGGAGGAATTCATGATTTGGCTTTTTGGGAACACTTTCTAATTTTTTTTTTTTCATTCATTCAGTTACTTATTCATTGAAATATTTATTAAGCATCCAGTTTATGTGAGGAGCTGGGTACACATGGTAAATAAAACAGTCATAATTCCTGCTCTCCTGGAGGTAATTGAGGAGAGAATGAACAGGTAAATAAGCAAAATAAAAAGGTAATTACAGATTGAGAAAAGAAAGCTCATAGGAAGAGAGCAGCATTCTGTGATCTAAAGAATAATCCACTGTACTTTTTTCCCCCCTCTAGTGTTGTCTTTGGATAAAGATACCAGATTAATGTCAGGTATCTTTGAGCTCTGCTTTTTGATAGCATCACACTGCCAGATTCTTCTTTCCTATTTTTGTAATAAGAACAGCGGTTTTCTTATAAGTCAATCCTATAAAGGGACTCCAAGGAACTATGTTGTCTTTTTGTTGTACTGGACTTTGTTGTGAAACACATGGGTAATCAATTCTCAGTTCTCTGTAAGACAGAGTTCCCAGTAGTGGGGATGATAACTTAGGAAAACTTGACATTCTGACCTTAGATTGTCAGAATTGTCATGAAAGTAATTGCCCATGATTGAAGTTGTCTCTCAATAACTTGGTGACTGTCAGTGTCTGGTAATTATCAAAAAGTAGTTAACTAATGAACTTGACCCTAAAATATCATTGCAAGAAGGAAATCTTGATAGACCCAGTGTGGTTTCTATTTTGGGTACATTTGAACAGAATTCACCTTGTCGTCTCTAGTTAGGGGATTGTCATTAGATATCCTTGATCTCTTGCTTAGATGCTTTTCACCAGATCGTCCGAGATGAAGGACTCTTGTCTTTATGGAATGGCACATTTCCCTCCTTGCTCTTGGTCTTCAATCCCGCCATCCATTTCATGTTCTATGAAGGTTTAAAACGGCAGCTTTTAAAGAAACGAAAAAAGGTAATCCCTCATTTTGAAAGCAGCAAATAATAATCTCTGCACTGTCCTGTTGTTAGGATTGGTGTAATTCATTCTGTCCTTGCTTTCCAGCTTTCCTCTTTGGATGTGTTCATCATTGGTGCAGTAGCCAAAGCAATTGCCACCATAGTCACCTATCCCATGCAGACGGTCCAGTCGATTCTGAGGGTGAGTGCTGGGCTTCATCCTGTGTTTGTCACACAGCACTCTAAAATACCTGGTTTCTTTCTTTCAAGCCTGTGCTAGAAAAGCAATAAAGTCGTCAGTTGGTAGACCAGAGCTCATTCATTTTTATATTTGATATTCTGCTAACCAGGCTAGCTATTGGTTGTTTTCTTATTTTAATTTAAAATGAAGTTTACATTTGCAATTTCTTAGGTAACATAGTATCTCAGAAAACCAGAATGGGAAGGAAAATTCTCTAAGCACCTCCAGAAAGTATAAGTTTGCTTCCTTCTCATTTGAGTTGATTCGCTTGATGTCCTAAGGCAGATTATTTACCAGGGAAGAAGTTGATTCCTTTAGTTTATTCAGGAGGAATTCATGATTTGGCTTTTGGGGAACACTTTCTAGTTTTTTTTTTCATTCATTCAGTTACTTATTCATTGAAATATTTATTAAGCATCCAGTTTATGTGAGGAGCTGGGTACACATGGTAAATAAAACAGTCATAATCCCTGCTCTCCTGGAGGTAATTGAGGAGAGAATGAACAGGTAAATAAGCAAAATAAAAAGGTAATTACAGATTGAGAAAAGAAAGCTCATAGGAAGAGAGCAGCATTCTGTGATTCAGCAGAGAGGGGCATGGTGGGATTTTCTTAGATAGGATGATGGGGATGGGCTCCTCTGAGAAGGGATGTGTACATCAAGACTTAAAGAAGGATAAGGATCCATCTGTGCAAAGAGCATTCTAGGTAGAGGGAACACGATGTGCTAAGAGCTTAGTGAATCCAAGGAACTGAAAGGCCACTATGACTAGAGAGTGACGCAGGATGAGATTGGAAAAGTAACAGGGAAGGCTGTAGATGAGGATTCTAGATTTTATTCTCAACACAGTGGGAAAAGCCTTTGAAGGGCTTTGCACTAGGGAGTAACGTGATCTGATTTTACAGTTCGAAAAGAGTACTGTGGCTGTCGTATGGCAGATTGGTCAGGGGCTAAGAGAAAAAGGGGTAGGGGGTCAGTAGGAGGCCATTTCAGTAACACAGGTGAGAAGTGATGGTGACCTAGACTACAGTGGTAGCTGTGGAGAGGATGTGGACAGATTCATGATCTGTTTTGGAGAAGAAAATTTAAAAGACTTATTGGTGGAAAAAATGGATGTGGTAGTGAGAGTGTTTCAGTTCAGAAAAATTATTACCTTCTGTTAAAAGTATTTTTACTAAGAAATTATTTTAAAATTGGTACTTAATATAAAGGAATTCAGTAGCACCGAAGTAAACGTATCTTGACACTTTTAGAATGTGAACATATAATGCGAAGAGCTTAGATGGCAGTGGTTCTAGTTGATTAATGTTTATCAGAACTTCTTAAAGGCTTGGAAGTTAAGCCATACCATCAATATCTAAGTCTTCATTGTGGGCATGGTTTTTTTCTTTTGATGTAGAATTTTCCCCATAATTCTCTGTGAAGTGAAAATTCTCATGGTTGCTTCATTGAAAAAAATCTCTTATTTTTACTTATTTCATTGAAATATTTAATTTATTTCATTGAAAAATAGAGGATTAGCAAAATCCACATATTAATGGGATATTTTTATTACCGTACGCTATAAGATATTACTCCAACATAATTTCTTCTGCAAGTAGAAATTAAGATAAAGAAAGTAGTACTAAACAGTCATTTGTTTATTTTTCTTCTCCCCCAGTTTGGACGTCACAGACTCAACCCAGAAAACAGAACACTGGGGAGCCTTCGCAACATTCTCTATCTTCTTCACCAGAGGATAAGGTGAGCATTGTAGGTGCTTCACATCTGTCCTCACATCTGTCACATCTGCCAAGGAGTGGTTGGATTTGCTTAACTGGCACTACTGCCCTGGCACTGGCAACCTAGAAACCTCCCCCTTGCATGCTGTGCTCAGACATTTCTAATTTAGGGGTGTTAGTACAATTATATGACAGCATTTTGGAAAATTGTGGAAAAGTTCAGGTTCTTATTCTTTGTTAGTTACAAATACACAGAGCTCCTTTAGAAAGAGGACCCTCTAAAATCTGACGGAGACTGTTCTGCCTGAGTAGTGCTTCCACCAGTGACATATCTTGTGGCTTCTCTCGTAGATGCAAGTAAGCAGGTATAATAGAGCAGTAGTCATAGTGAGAAAGGGAGCGGGAAGAAGAAAGAGTGATAACAGTCATCATCATAATGATGACGACAATAATGTTGATAAGAGCAGCTAACATTTCTGAGTGTTCACTTTGTGGCAGACACGTAGCTTGATGCTGTATGTGGGACAGTCTCACTTAATCCTAACAATAGTCCTATGAGGCAGGTACTTTGGTCATTTTCCTGTTTCATTTAAAGACACTGACCTGAGGGACATCAAATAAGCCAGGGGCCTCCAAAAGTTGCTCTATTACTATTCCTAGATGTAAGATATTTTGAAAATAAATTTATTATAATAATAGAACATGCTTAGGATAAAATATAAAACCAAAAATAAAGAATTGGTATAAAGTAAAAAATAATTGCGTACCATACCAAGTGTTGGCAAGAATGTAGAGCAACCACAACGTTCATGTGCTGCTGGTGGGAATATAGAATGGTACTTCCACTTCGGAAAGCAGCTGGGGATTTTCTTAAAATGCTAAACACACACCTCTCCTAGGACCTGGCCATTCCACTTCAAGATATTTACCCAATGGAAATGAAATGTGTCTGTACAAAAACCTGTACACAAATGTTGGTAGCAGCTTTATTTGTAAGACTCAAAAACTGGAAACAATCCAAATGTCCGTCATCGGGTAAATAGACACATACATTATGATATATCTGTATAGTGGAATACTCCTCAGAAATGAAGGAATTATTGATTTGTGCAACAACATGGATAAATCTCAAAATAATTATGCTGAGTGAAAGAAGTCAGACAAAAAGAATTCATGCTCTCTGGTTCCACTTATGTGAAACTTAGAAAATGCAAATAATCCGTAGAGACAGAAAGCAGATCAGTGGCTACCTGGGGTCAGGGTATGTGGAGGGAAGGCGTGATTATAAAGGGACATGGAGATACTTTGGGGGCTGTTGGCCAAGTTCACCATCTGGAATGTGGTGATAGTTTCATGGGTATATACATCACTCAAAACTCATCAAGTTGAAGTTAGTTAACTTTAGTAAATCTATAAATACATGAATACTTACTCTGTTTTCTCTCCTTTTTTTAAGAGGTAGTCACTTAACAGTTAAGGGTATATGTTTCCAGAATATTATATCAAACATATATTTGGGTATTTATTTTTATATAAGTGGAATCATATGGTAATGCTGTTTTGCAGCTTAACCTTTTTATAAACTTAATATCACAAATAATTCTTCACATCGATATCTGTATTTTTTGTAGTGACTGCCTTGTCTTCTGTTATATGACTATAATTTATTGACCAACACATTTATTGATGGATATTTAGTGTTTTTTCCAGGCTTTTGCCTTTACAAACATTGCTGAATGAATAGCCCGTAAATTTAGCTTTGTCAACTTGAGTGATTCTAATTATAGAGAAAATTTTTTGAAGTAGAAATACCTGGTTAAGGAGTTCAAACATGTAAAATGTTGACATAGCCAAATTAACCCCGAAAAAAGACATCAGCTTCTTTTTCTACCAGCACTGTGAGAGCTAAGAATGGTGTAGTTAATAAGAAAGTTAAGAAGGTAGTGTTGACCAGAAATCTAAAGGGTCATGTGATTTTCGAATCCAGTGTGTGTTTACATCCTTTATCTTGTCTGATTCTCACTCAGCCTTGCGAGTGTAGACAGGTGACTATATTTCCATTGTTGCAGATCATGAAACAGGTTTAGAGAAAGTGACTTGCCCAACACTAGACGGATAGAGGCAGAGCCAGATGTTCAAACTCAAATGCTCAGTAAGCACTCAGGAATTATTGAATGAATGAAGACCATTCATCTACTAGAATATTCTACAACTAGATTGCCACTGACCACATGTGGCTGTTGAGCACTTGAAATATAGCCTGTGCAACTGAGAAACTGAATTTTTTAAATTTTCATTGCCAGGTTAGTAACCCATATTGTACAGTGCACTGGACCGTGCCAGCCCTCCTCAAACTTTTGATTGGTTAAGAATCACCGGAAGTGCTTGTTAAAATATAAATTCATGCCCCGCTCTGGGCTAAGGCCTTGCAGTCTTCATTTCTAAACAAACCCTGGCGAGCCTGATGTGAGTCGATATAAAGAAAACCTATACTCTTGGGTATCTCTCCTTTACTACTCACACAGAACACTTCTCTCTGACACTTCTGGTCACCAAATGTGTGGGCTTTTTTCCCCACACCAAGCAATTCTGTGTGACACCAGATGGGTGTCCAGCGATTTAACTCAATTCTGGCACTGTCTACATGGAGATAACATCAGATCCTGCAGGTTAAGGTCTCAATTTCATGAGACTCCCCCCCTACTTCAGATGCTAATTGCAAGTAGTAGGTACCCAGGTTACCCACAACCTCTGTCTGACTTTGCTACATGTTAGAGGTTCCTATGACCTCCTCTCCCTTGGATTCGATTATTTGCTAGAACAGCTCACAGAACTCAGGGAAATCCTTAGGATATATTAAAGAGTACAGATGAACAGCCAGAGGAAGAGATACATAGAGTGAGGACTGGAGTATTCTGAGCACAGGAGCTTCTGTCCCTGTGGACTTGGAGTGTGTCACCTTTCTGGTACAGGGATGTATTCACCCTCCTGGAGGCTCTTGGAACCGCATACTTTTGCGTTTTTTTATGGAGGCTTCATCGCACGGTCATGATCCATCATTAAGTCCATTTCCAGCCCCTCTCCCCTCTCTGGAGAATAGGGGGTCGGGCTGAAAGAGCCAAGTTTCTAACCTTTCAGGTGACCATCCCCCATCCAGGAGCCCAAGAGTCACCTCATTACAACAAAAGACACTGCAGTTACACAGGATATTCTAAGAGAGTTTAGGAACTCTGTGTCAGGAACCAGGGTCAAAGAGCAAATAGTAGAGCAAGAGATGCTTCCAGTGCTCTTATCACTCCAGTAATTACAATGGTTGGGAGCTCTGGGCCGGGAACCTGGGACAGAGACCAATATCTGTATTTTCTATTATTTCGTAGCAGACCTCACCTTGAGAAACACTGAGGTGGACTTCTTGAGGGAACATAATTCACGTAAATTAATGAACTAGAAATTCATGGGTCAAAGCTTTTTATTCCTTTTTATCACATGATTTATTCCAAATAATAGGTTTTCACACATAGCAAATATATAAGAGATAGAAAAGCGTCTGCATGGAGCACTTGATTAGCTTTAATTTCTCAGTGTTTGTGCTGTATATAGGCCTAGAGTTGCCAATGCACTAGCAGATGAGATTAATTCACTCTCAACTAATAGCTTTGGAGAGGTCATTTACTTTGAACGCCTGGTTTGAGCTAAAGCGTTCTTCTCTGGTTAGAGCAGTGGCTCTAAAGGACTGGCTTCCAGGCTGGCACCTGGTCAGCTGATTAGAAATACAAATTCTTGAGTACCATCCCTGATTTAATAAATCGGAAATTCTGGGGATGAGACCCAGCAATCTGTGGTTTAACGAGCCCTTCCGGTGATTCTGACATGTGCTAAATTTGAGAACCACTGGGTTAGAAGATCAAATGTATGGGAAGACTGAGAATCAGGTAACTTTCGTTTCTGTCACCTTGCCTAGTTCTTTTGAGACTAATGATCTAAACCAATTTGCAGCTTTCTTACCATTTAGGTATTGTAAAGTTGAAGTAACTGAGTTGAGGAAACATTAAAGATCTAAAAGTTCTTAGGTAGAGCTCAGATTTTGACATTAAGATGGTTTTAGGAGGTTTTAGGGTCTGCATCCTAGATTTGGGGTATTGTCAGCATTTTACTAATTAATGGTGATTATAAAGACAAAGTGTTGGTTACTCATGAATGCTAAACTTTAATCAGTCCCCAAATACCTTTAAAGATGGTAAGTACTTTGACAACAGAGGTCTGTTAATATATAAAACTTCCATTGCTTGTTTTGATTCTAAGGATAAAACTGCCAAGTAGCTGTCAAAGTAGCCTATTTCTTTGATGCAGGAGTTGACTTTTATAAAGAAAACTTTTTATTTTTTCCAAACCTCTTTTTTTTTTTTTTTAGGCGTTTTGGGATCATGGGACTCTACAAAGGCCTTGAAGCCAAACTGCTACAGACAGTCCTCACGGCTGCTCTCATGTTTCTTGTTTATGAGAAATTGACGGCTGCCACCTTCACAGTTATGGGGCTGAAGAATGCACACAAGCATTGAGACACCTCACCCTGCAAAGTATGGAAAGACGATCACGATGGGGGTTTCCATCTGTGTGAAGAAGAGTGATTCTCCATTTACTCTTGCTCTTTCCACTATGAATTTTACCCTCACTGGCTTCAAAAGGGTAAACATGGAGTATAGCCAGCTGAACCTATCACCAGCTTAATTGTTAGGACGGTTGGTTGAATTTTGCAGAAGAGGTTGGTCATATGAAAGGAAAGCATCATTGAAAACCTAAAATTGAAAGTTTGTGGATTTGGTTTTCTTAAGGAGAATGGACTATTGGCCTCATGAGTAATCTTTCCAGTTAAAATCTTTCTTAAGTTTACCAGCTGTT